CCCCCACCCCCCCCCCCCCCCAAATCCAAGCCCCACCCACAGCCCTCCATTTAAGCGGGGCCCTTCCATTCCCTTTCAACAGGAGTCTGCCCGGAAATAGGCCAGCACACAAAGAGCGCACCTGTGACACTTGGAGTCTTAGAATCCACCTCCTCCCAGCCAGGGGGGAGGGAAACTGAAACCATCTGAGCAGGAGCTGCGCTCCACCTTGACCTCCTCCTTCCTCTCTGCTCAGACGGCGGGCCCTGGGAGAGACAGGCCAGGGAACCACCGGGCAGATGCTTCTGCCTCTGCCCACAGTCTCACAAACCGGTGCCTTGAAAACACACGCGAGGCCACTTGTTGCGCAGGTGCGGAGGTTTCCAGGCACCGGGGCTCGGAGAAGGCAGCACTTCTCATACCGCCTGGAGCAGGCTGAGGACCCAGGCCTCACACACCCAACCTGGAAACTTCATCAAAAAACTGCCCCGAGGCAGGGGAGGAGTGAAGGGTGGTTTCGAAAAGCAAAGGAGGAAAGGTAGAAACTGGTTAAAAGTAGATGAAAACCGAAAGGCCCGCTCCCTTTCTGCCCTCTCAGGGAGACAGGGCAGTCCCACAGATGGGGGAAGGGGACCCCTTCCTTGACCAGAGTGCGGGTCATGGGGAGGAGGGGGTGCCAACATCCTTCTCAGGAAACAGGCTGCAATACCATGGGCTTAAATATTGATTGTCAACAGAGAGAGAGAGAGAGAAACCTGCAACCCACCAATCTCATTTCCAGATTCCCTCTCTCCAGCCTAGAGACATGAATAATTAACTTGCCTACCCGAGAGCTCGCCGGAGTGGCCATAAAAGATGAGTAATGGCACGGAAGCCCCGGCCCCACGCCCGCCGGCTTCTGGGCTTCTGGGCTCGGGGCTGGGGCTGGGGCTAGGACCGGCGCCGGGAACAAAGCCTCCGCATTCCTCCGGGAAGGTGTGCCTGAAACCAAACCTGTCACCGGCGAGAAGCTGGCCCCTTACCTCCCCCATAGCCGGCTCCCCGGCTGCGAGGAGGGGAAGAGGAGGGGCCGTCGCCCGGGCGCGCGGGGTGGACCCGATGGCTAGGTCGCCTCTGCTCACACCCCCACCCCTGACCGAGCGGCGCCCCCAACCACAGCCGCTTTCGGGAAGCCGCGCAGTCTGCAGGGCGATAATCCTGTTACCATGAACGCCGGCTGTACTTGGAGAGCCAATTCTCCAAGCAACAAGGCAGCTCCCTCGGCGCCCTTCCCGGTGAGTAACCAAAGCCGGGCGCCGGCTCAATGAACACACTCGCTGAAACTCCAGTGGCGCGTTGCGGCTCCCAAGCCGACTGCCCGCCGGGGACAAACCGGCTCCCGACACACCAGCGCACAGGCACAAAGGCACCCCCAAATGCAGCCCGTGCACCCTGCGCCCCGCCGATCCAACAGCCCACAGCCACCCGAAAGTTACCGCACGCGAACATACC